GAATAACGAGCAGTATGCTGTTTTTCATCGCTTCGGTTTACACCAAACTTGTGAGTTTCACCGCGAAACCCACCTTTCTTTTCTTTCTCGTAGCGCCTTCCCCGAAACCCCCTTTGTCTGGCGGACGCGGAGATAATCAGCTAACGGACTCGAGATGCTGTATATGTACTTGGGTCAGCACCATAATATATGGAAGACTTCAGACGCTCAAACTCAATCTGGTCTGGCATGCTCTCAAACGGCATGTCAACCAAACTATTATCTGCCACAGTGCGATTATGGTTAACCAATTTAGTTTTGAGGCTACACATTATGCACATATGCAGGTTTGCATCCCCTCCAGGCGTGAGCTTGGTATTACAAAGCTCATGTTCCACGCGACGAATCGTATATGCCCTGATTGCTTCGTTTTAGTTCCCTTTGAAAAAAATTGCAAAGATCCTCCCACATATCCGATCCGGTATCCTTGTCGCGTATTTGCTGTAAAATTTTGGGATGTACAGACGTACCAATCACCCGCATGATATTGAGCTGCCTTTTCTCGAACTCTTCTTGCTTTTTTAGAAGAGCAGTAGCAAGCATTGCTTTGGATAGATCACCAACTGAAATCTTCTTGAGGTCGTTCTCTATAAATAAATAAATTATCACCAATTTGTATGTCTGCCAAACCTTGCCGTCCCAATTCTTCGGCACTCCTTCTCTCGTGTAAATCATTATTGGGCTCACAACCCTGTTAGGATACATCCACGTCTCATTGCAGCACTAGTCCAGCATGTCCCTGACATAAATTTCAATTCCAACCGACTTATAAAAGAAAGACGCAAAATCGCCGGGTGAACAGACTCATTTGCCGGTGGGGAGGTCGTGGACAATCAAATATTGTTCTTAGATTTTGACAAACCAAATGTCTTTATTGAGCTTCTGGCCAATTTGAATTGTTTTATGCTCTTGTGTGCGTTTAGAGTGGGACAAGAGGGAAATGGGCAGACAACAGCAGGTAAAGTTAAAGACTTGCTTGATTCTATTGGCTTTTTAGGTAGCATGTATCATTTCAGAAAGAGGTAAACCATGACTCGAACGATAGTTAGTCGTTATTCCTGGGCGAGGTTGTTTCATACTTTGATTCTGCTATTCCCTACAGCAAACGCCGTCAAACTTTTTACGAACAGCTGATTAGCTTATTAGTTAAATTTAATTTGTTTTATGCAATACATAGAAGGTCAGAGGTGCGGAGACTGAAGAGCTTTCATTGACTGGAATTAGTGTTGAGTCTTAGGGACGGGTTGAGCATCTCTAACTGAAGCATTACCAATTTCGAAATCTATCTCTAAAAAGCACCAAGTGTTGCTGACTTGTCTTGCTGAACGTGGTTCGACATCACCTGCACCAGATCGTCTACCGAAGCTAGTGTTTCTAGCACAAGCGAGCTGCTACCTCCTGAATTTAACTCTGATTGATATTGCAGCAATTCCAGTCCATGTGCTGGAGAAAACCATTGTGCAGCTTGACTCGGTGTTTAACTCACGCTTAAACTGGCAATCATCTTCGGCCTCGTGCTCGTCAACGCCGACTATGCAACGTATCAAGGGCTGAACTCAGGCGTGAATATCATTTTCATGACAAAGCTGTATCAAGGATACGTAATGTTCGTTGCTTGTCTGCCCTTCACCTGGCGGGAACGAGCCGTCTACTACCGCGAGCATGACCCGCAGACGTGCAACACTCTTCGGGGTTCTTGGCATAACATTCGTCAACATCCCCTAATTTTTTTGGCAGCAGTCTCCTCGTCACCATTGCCCTCTTCCCTCTCCTCGAAATCTGGCTCCTTCAGCACGGCTGTGCTCTAATGGCTCAGCATCTCCCTCTATGGCTCTACTGGCTCAACATATTCCTCTCCGTGCTCATTCAGACGCTCCTAGGACAGCTGCTCGTCTAATAGCTGTCTAGTGGAAAAGTCGTTGCCGTTGTGGGCGTCCTCATAAACGTCATGTTCCTGCTCTTTGCTGGGTTCAACCCGCCTACTGCTGCCATCCGGACCATTATTGATGGCCCTATGACGTCACTTCACAGCGCTATTCCTTCTCGATCTTCGTCTCGCTCGTGTTTGGCAACTATCTAGGAGATCTGGTGTATGATGAGGTTACGAAGGGTTACAACAACGTGCGGTCGGAACTCGCGTGTAAATCCCTACGGAATGCACCGCCGTCAGTAAGCTGCACATGGTCAAGAACACCCGGACAACACCTTCAACATCAAACACAGCGACATGGAGACTGACTTTTGCTACGTCTTGGTCTTCCTCGCGGTCTTTTGGGTACTGACGCTGCTAGCGCTGTCCTGCGTGAACCACCAGAGGCGCTAGAGCAGGTATAGAACTATTTATGAATTGGTGGTGAAGGTCGTGGTGGTAATTTACAAATGGAAGAGTAGGTGTAACTACTACGTCTCATTTTATCAAGACCAATCCATCAAAATAGTAAACCGGTTGCAGTAACAATGCTCTACACAAGAAAGAAAAACTTTACATACTGAGGTCTTCTATCTGACTGTTGCGCTGAGGATATTAATTAAAAGCAAAAATTGCCCTTCGATGTACAGTACTGTTCAGGTTTGGGCCGCTTTATTTGGAACGAATTAATTGCTGGACATAAGCATGGACGGACCTGGGTTGATCACCGAAGACAACAGGGCCATGTTGCGTGTACTGTTGATCCTGGTGTGGTCAGCTACACAATACGAGTCATATATACAAGATTAAAGGGTGGCATTTGTGGAAGTAAAAATTCAGTCAATGGAAGCTCTTTAATCTCCGCACCTCTGACCTTCTATGTATAGCATGATACAGATAAAAGTTTAATATCAAGCTCAGTAGCTGTTCGTAAAAACGTTTCATACCGATTGTAGTACGGAATCGCAAAATCAAAGTACGGAATAGCCGCGCCCATCATTCTTCCATCTCTTTTTTAAAAAGAGATCGGCATTTCAGATTGGTCAACCAAAACATGTCGAAAGAAAAATGTCCGCGTTATTCCGAGTAATGCCAGTAGCGCCGGCGTCGACGCTCAGGTCATCGCTACTGCATCCAGGCGCGCTCCTAGCATTATATACTGGTGGGCAATTTTTTTCGGACTTGCTGTGCTACGTCAGTGATAAAACAAGGAGCTCACCGATCGGCGACGACGTTGAACTCACTTGAAGCGCTGCCAGTATCTTGAATTTCTGAGGGTATGACGACGTCCGGCTATTGTAAACACTATAAAAGAGCTGCTAACTCGACGTAGGATGGTCAATTTCCTGCAGTTCAAGAGCTTCGCAGCATTTTAAAACTGGCATTTCAATAAACTCTCTTAACCTTAGTGTACTGTTTAGTGATTTTTCCCTCTCAAGTGCCAAGAAGTGACTTACTATTTGTCTATTTTGTATATTTATGTGTACATATACACGAATACCATATACATATATATATATACATGTGTATACATACATATATGTATATGTTTTGTAGTGTTGAAATCTTTGTCTATAAGTCATTCTTTGTAGTTTATAAGTTCCCTGAATAGTTAAAGGTAATGGATACCCGAGTAATATGGTGCAGCCTGTACTTAAGCCATTGCAGACCAGTAGTCGTGGCAGAGTGACTGGGTAACTACAAAAGGATACTCAATAATATAAAATCTATATTTTTACTCTAGAATTAGAAATAGATTCAAGTTTGTTAAATCTGTAAGCGAGGTGAAAAGTCTGGTTTGTCATCTTTTAATTGGTAATTAAAAAGATCGTGAAGGTTGTGTTGTCCGAAAAGAGCTCCAAATCTTGCAGACCTGCCAGCATGAGCTGAGTCTAGTGACTAGCTATTTATAATTGTTTGTTAAAAAAGTGTCTGGACGGCAAAAAACTTTTTGAAACATAGTTTAATATATGCGTGATAGAATAACTCGCACATGCGTTTATTCTTACCGTGCACAAAATTCAATACAGTAGCATGACGCTTCAATTACTGTGACTAAATCGTCTGATGCCTATTTCTTCCATAAAGAGGTGGAAGGATGATGGCTAACTTTTGTTCGAATTATGATTTACCTCTTTCTAAAATGACACACACCACCTGAGAAGCCAATAGAATTAATCGTGGCTTTAAAACCTACTGTTTACTGCTCATTTCCCTCTTTTCCCACTCTAAAGCAAACAAGAGCATAAATAAGATTCACATTGGCCAAAAGTTTGGAATTTAGTTGGTCAAAACCTCCCTACCGACCACTAATACCGGCTAATTAGTCTGTCCCAGCCGGCCTTTTACGCTTCCTCACCAAAATCCCAATAAACCAATTGAACGCATATTTTATAGCACCCCGTGAACCACAATTGTAACCCGTTTATGATGTCCGTAAATCTGTCAAGACCCAAAAATAGTCTCCTAATTTTTTTCCTTATGAGCATATATGCAATATAAACAAATCACTAATAAACATGCACACCTATCACCGTCCACCTGTAGAGTAGTTGGAGGCAAGAGCCGAAGTGAATCTATTTAAGGTCCTTAGGTCACTACCATGGGCAATCTTTAAGTCGTTATGTAACTCCATTCCATGACAATCCTCTAAAAGTACCATGAACCTCCTTGATGATACATCTCATAAATCTTCATCCCAACAACATGAAACGTACCTGCTTAGCTGTGTAATATCAACACTCCCGCGTACATCAGCTGCTTGGTGACCTTGCACTGGATACCGTTCGCATCGCGCAGGAACTTAAACGTCTTGGATCCTAGAGCCTTGGTCAGTACGTCGGCAAACTGGTGTTTGGCGTCCCCATACGCTAGCGCAACCGTTCCGGCTTCGATCGTCTCTCTGATGAAATGATGACGGATGTCCACATGCTTGGTCTACATACAGGCACACATACACAAAACCGTTCCGGGTAAGCTTAACATAGACGCACTCATCCGCATCACAGCTCTTGAAACCATTCTGCAAGAAGACACGGCGAATTGACTTGTTTCAAACACTTCCTGTCTGCTTCAAACCATAGATAGCCTTCGACAATTTGTACAGCGTACCCGTAGCGTTCTTCACACCGGATGGAACTTCCATGTAGACAAGATCCACCATCCCACTTATCAGGAACGCTGGATCCGCGTCCAGATGCTCCATCACATAGTTGTATGCCACGCACATAGCTCGCACAACTCGAATCGAGTTCTTGTTTGCGACCGGTGAGTAGATTTTAGAGAGGTCTATTCCGAGCTTCTGCTTAAACATTTGAGTGTTCAGCAGAACATTGTAGCGAACCACTCAACCGCTCTCGTCACGCTTCTTGGAAACACCTAACGGCACCCAATCGGACAGGTATCCGTTTTACTTAAAACGAGAGTCCCACGTATGGTTCCGAAAATGCAAAAGGAGCTCCGCGTCCATAGCCTTACGCCATTCAGCTGCTTTGGCACTAGCGATAGCTTCTGCATACGTGTTCGTTGTGTCTGGAACACCGTCGATACTAGCAGCAAATGAGAAAACAGCCTCCGCAAGCAATCATACTTCGTCAATCATTGCCCGCTTCGGCGAAGGAGGTCCATCACTCCATTCAGGCAGCCTTTCGTCATCATCGTCCACAACTTCCTTAAGAAGAAACACTGACTCTGTCGAACGCCTCGAGCGTGTCGCTTTGGGGTGGAATAACACGCGATCTACATTGTACGTTGATGGCGGCGGAACAAACGCAGCCATTTCCAGCACAGTGTCAGCCGGTTCAGATGGAGGCAGTTAGGGATAAAGAGACTAATCCTCAGGTTCCACGTCGTCCATCTCCATATACGGAACATATTCCTCGGCAGGTTCCATGGGTTCAAACATATTCTGACGTTGATCAGGTACGGGAACGGTTCTTTCATCGTGCTTCGTAGTTATTTGAGTCACCGTTCCAAGCTGCGATGACTGCGTGTCATATATTCCGCCCACCGCACGCTCGTCCAGCTTGACCGAAGGTGACGTCTTGACCTTGGCATCGTCCAAGTCAAATAAACTGTACCCCTCTACGTTCTCAGCATACCCGGGCAACATACATCGAAAATTCTTCGACTCGAGCTTCGTTCTCTTCGCATCGTCAATGTAAGCACTATTCCTGGATCAAAACATGCGTAAGTGTTTCAAGTGGGGCTTCGCCTTATGACTCAACTCGTACGGTGTCGAGTCCGCGTGTGTCACATTGCTGGAACGGTTGATAAGGTTCACTGCCATACGTACAGCTTAGGCTCATTATTATTTCGACACACCCTTGTAGTGTAGCATGCTTCTTGCCTTATTCATGATGGTACGATTTACACATCGCCACTCCATTCTGTTGAGGGCGATACGACATGGTTCGTTGGTGCATGACATTGTTGCAGCGGCACATCTCATCTACCGTACTGTTCACGAACTCGGTCCATTGTCTGATCGCAGACACCTTAAACGTTTACCCATTAGGTTTCGTAGAACGCTTGAAATCCCTAAATTTTGCCGGCCTCGTCACTCTTCTAATTCAGGAAGTATGCTACTACATAACGTGAGTAGTCGTCCACGAGTGTCAGCACATAATTTTCGCAACCCTTTTTTTAAAAGTATTCTCAATAAGCCTATCCCATCCGTGTGTTTAAGTTTCAACACATGCGATGTCTTCGCCACAGATCGTGACAGGAACAGCGTAACGGTCTGCTTGCCTTTCATGCAGCCGCCACACAGCTTCTCGATACCTTACTTCACTTCAGGTATGCCGTTCGTGGAACGCTGGGTCTTGATCAGTGCATCCTTGCTTGGGTGACCCATGCAAGCGTGCCACAGCTTTCTAATTAATGTCAGCTCCTAAGTACTCCATATACCGTGCTTTCTCTTGCTACCAGTCTAGCAGGAACGCCTTGCCCACCTTGTTTCCCATAGCAATTGCGCTGCTTGCACCCCAGATTATGCACGAGGAACTTAAAACTCAACGCTCAAGCCACGTTCAGCTAGTCTCCCAACCGACAGGAGGCGTCTGTAGAGTCCTGGGATGTACAAGCCGTCCATTATCTTGACGCGGCTTTCGTCAAAACCGGTCCACTTGACCGTTCCTCTTCCATGAACGCGTAGCTTCTTGCCATCCACAATAGTCACCTCGACGACAGCGTTCACGGTCTAGTAGTAGATAAGATCTGAACGATGCGGGGTAATGTGCGACGTAGCACCACTGTCGATCAACCAGCCGTTCCGGCGTTATTCGCCGACGTGAAACACAGCATCGTTCCCGCTGCCGCCTCTCTGACTAGGATAGTCCCACTTCATGTGAATGACTTGGTCACATCCGAAGCACTTGCATTTGAAACCACCACCCTTCTTGTGTGGTACGTTCCTCTTTCGACTGTATCCTCGGTCGCCTTTTAACCTTTAGCGTTCCCAGCACGGAATGCTTATTTCACGCGGGTGTTTTTTTTTCGAGCCAATCGTACTCTTTTATAAGCGTCTCCTTCACCTCAACCAGTGACGCGTCCTTTTCGTTCCCCTCAATAAATTCAATCACCTCGTACTCAGAAAAAAGACTGCTCTACAGCACAACAAGCTGTCGTGCCTCGTCGACTTGTTCCCCTAGTGTCTGCAACCTAAAGACAAGCTCATTGAATTCGTCCAGATGCTTGACCATCGTCGTTCCGCTCTCCATATCGAAGTCATCAGACGTCGTGTCATGGTAACACGGTTCTGGAGCGTGGAACGATTGCAAAGTCCCGTTGCTTCCCTCAGGCGTGCATGGCACGTGAAGCAGATCAAATATTAGTTGATGATGAAGTTCAACCTCAGGCATGCATGGCACATGAAGCAGATCGAATATCAATTAATGCTGAAGTTCCACCCCTTGAGTGACGATCCTGAGTGCCTTCGCGATAATAACGAGCCACGACTCCGTGATCTCGTTGTCGGGCTTTACAACCTCAACATGCGCCAAAAGACCCTTTCGGGCCAAGGTCATGCGCATGTTGTTCTCCCAGTGATAGAAATGTTTACTCCACAGTAGGACTTCGGTGCGTTTACTTGCCATGTCTTTAACGTTACGGTGGGGAGCGTTGAGGCTGTTAACCCGTAGAGTAGTTGGAGTCAAAGCCGAAGTAAATGTATTTAAGGTCCTTAGTTCAGTAGCATGAGCTATCTCTAAGCCTTCATGTAACGCTGTTCCATGACAATCCTCTGAAAGTACCATGAACCTCTTTGATGATACATCTCATAAATCTTCATCCCAACAACATGAAACGTTCCTGTTCAGCGGAGAAATATCAACACCACCACCGTCTTATTCCTATGATTTTATAAGGTCATGGACAACGTCTTTTTTGGTGGCGCCACCTGATTTCCCAAATCGGTTGGAACTGGGTCCGGACCCTGCTTTATCGATTTGACATTCATCCCCCGTATCTTCATGACTTTGAATTAGTGACTAAGCGCCGAGGCTGCATAGTAGGTACTCGTAAAGGTCATTTGTTGTTAGATATTAGCATTGTTCACTTGAATTGGGCTGCCGACTGGCTGCTGTCGTAATTTAAGACGGAGCTATCGTATGTAGACACGGAGTCAGAAGGTACTTGTTTAAGATGGGCTACGTACCTTAGGTAGCACGGAGTAGTATTGTACGCACACACTCGCCATCATCGATATGCTTGACAATGGCTTATACGGTTCCCAATTGGCTCATCCATTATTTAATTAGTCACAGGCGTTTCTGCTCCACAACAAATGCTATATATTCTATAGCAACTCTTGCTGAAGCGATTGAATACGAATATTTACACATTTACGTGGGAACGGGGGAGGAAATGATTTTCCCCCATGTCTGGAAGCATGAAACGGGGCTTTCATACTTGCAGGTTTGCACGGAGTATTGCATTGCTACCAAGCAATTCAATTCTATACGAGGGGCGTTAGACAAACAATAACTTCCTAGTGATGCAAGGGTGTCACGGGGTGCTGAGACTTCACCGCAATGCTTTTGAGAGTGCCTGAAGGTGCGTGGGCGCTATCGCTACTTCTCGTGTCCCCAGGTGCCTCGGCAATCGTTCCAACCGTCAGGCGCCAAAAATTTTAGTTATTAGCATGATAGAATGTTGGAGAGTTTTCAAGATGATGTAGCGGTGGGCTAACAGGTGCGGTGACAGATATGGTTCCTGATGAGCTCGAACTGCATTACGCACATATGGTGTGAGCGAATTAATGTTTCAACTTGCAGCTTGCACTTCATGACGTCGGTCGGTGTGGCACACTACTTTACTACGTGTGTACATAATGTAACCGCATTGGTTATGCTAGATTATTCAGGCGCAAATACAGTAGTTCAAGTGGCCCCGTTTCATGCCTGTTTTGACCATTTAACCCTGGAGCGGACAGTCAAACCACTGATTCTTGATCGGTGCCACGTATCAACGCCGCTTCCGGTGCCGTACTCCCGGCTTGTACGATTTCAGACTTCTAGCAAATTATCATAATGGTTTATCGACAGTAACAAATCTCTCTCTCTCCCTCTTTTTTACTCAAAGGGCTTGTCGCCTGGTTTTGATGGCACGAAATCGCATAAACATTAGCTCGCATTCGTTTGTAATTATATAATGGGGGTGCTACAAACACTATTCATGTAAAAACAAATTTATCGGGTTTTTTGTTAGTCAACTAGAAGCCGGGAGAAGTGTACTAGCACGAGCGTGAAGAGTCACAGCCCACGATAAAAATATATGCAGTTACGATAAAATTAGCTCCTACAATAGACAAAGGTTGCAGCGATATGGATAGAGACACCAGAGTAGATGAGAAGCATGCAGCTTCGGAGCCCAAGCAGGATATGAAGACATGATTATATAAGTAGTGGTAACTGCCGATAGCAATTCAACTCGCACCTGTTTAGTGGAAGTTTGCTGGCCGGTAAGATTACGCGCGTAATATGCCTGACGTCATGCGTCATGATCCACTTTTAGATTTTCGTAAAGGAGAAAAAACACGTAGGTAGGCACAACCCACTTTTTGTTGACCTTTGTGTGATATCTGTTTTTTAAGAGCGATCGGATGCGATGAAGTCCTCCCTGCGCGTACCGCATCCACATTACTTCTATATGGAGGATTACCCGATTTTTGCAGACCTTTACACGGCAATTGCAAAGCCATTCTCATATGCATAGACATGAGCAGCTTCCTTTGCAAGCTCGAGATTGCTATAGGTTTCGGCTGAAAGAATATTAGAGGATGGACAACAATTGTCACACAGTATGGTGTTTTGAAGTATGGTTTTTTAAGTACGGGTCCGTAGAGGCAAGGATGTACAGAAAAACGAATAGGCTGCAATATTGTAGGTGCAAATAGAGTTGCACGAACGAAACATGTTTTTGGAGGCGGTAAAAAAAATTGTTGGCTATCCACTTATTTTGCGGCTATACAATTTATAGGCAAACTGTTCTTAGGATCCCGGCAAAAACACTTGGGTCTGCGACAATGTGCTCAATTGTCTAAATCGTGTTCTTACTATCCAGGGTTACAAAGGGATCATACGATGAGATTAATAGTGGTAAGTCAACGATTTTTAATTTTTCATCCCATCATAATCAATAAAGCCGCTCTTCATTTTTACTACGGCTGTGATTCTGCAAGCCGTACTCGCTTGTTTTCGGTGAAATCTTGAGTACTTGTCGGTTCATGTATAAAAGATCCAGCACTAGTGTGCTAGACATGATAATCGCCCAAGAAAGCATGCGTAGCATGCACGCTCGTACGGATTAGAATAAGAGTGCAAACCTCAACGATCATATAAAACGCTTTGTTTGAGGTGTCTCCAGTAGGCGCTAAGAGCAGGATCGTCCGGAAGCCATGCGAGTCTTTTAATGAATAATACTATGTTCCGAGATGCATTCGATGCACAACCTTTTAGCCTGTACGACGCCACCAATGTACGTGATACATCGGCTGGTGATGATGATAAATTATTAGTTGCGGAGAATACCGCATCAAACTTTGTTCTTACTTTTTAAGGTGGCTGTATTGACTTGGCCTTGTAATTTCTTAAAAATGTCACTATCGTACAG